TATTTCTCAAGAGTTCAAACCGTCGCGAATCAATTAAGAAGATATGTAGAAGAAATCAAAGACAATCATAGGGTTGAAAAAATTCTACGGTCTTTAGATTCAAAATTCGATTACATAGTTGTGGCAATAGAAGAATCTAAAGACCTAGAAACAATGACTGTTGATAATCTCTTGGGATCTCTTCAAGCTCATGAAGAAAAACTCAAGAAGAGAATAAAGCAAGAGTCATTAAAGCAAGCCCTTCAAACCAAGCTCACCTTAAAAAATAAAGAGATTTTCCAAGAGGGAAGAAGTCAAAGTTCAAGAGGGCGCGGTCAAAGCCAAGGCTTTGGAAGAGGAGGTTATAAGACTTTCAACAAAGAAGAGAGAAGTCCACATTTCTATCAATCAAAAGACCATGGAAGAGGAGGTTTTTCGAGACCAAGGTATGATAAGTATCAAGTTCAATGTTATAATTGTCAAAAATTTGGTCACTTTGCCTCCGACTGTAGATTGGCAAAAAATAAAATTGAGGAGCGAACAAATCTTGTCAAAGAAGAAGAAGAAAATTCAACATTGTTGATGGCCCATAAAGGAGGAGGAGAAAGTGATACCAAAACGACATGGTACTTAGATACGGGAGCTAACAACCACATGTGCGGGAAGAGAGATATGTTCGTGGAGCTTGATGAATCGGTAAGTGGAAATATCTATTTTGGAGATGAATAAAAAATCCCGGTAAAAGGAAAGGGTAAATTTTTAATCCGGTTAAAAAATGGAAAAAATGATTTCATCTCTAATGTCTACTATGTGCCCAACATGAAATCAAACATTTTAAGTTTGGGGCAACTTTTAGAAAAGGGGTATGACATTCATATGAAAAATCATACCCTTTTGATGAGAGATAAAAATGGAGTTTTGGTTGCAAAGTACCAATGTCAAAAAATAGAATGTTTTCATTAAACATTGAAAAGGGGGGAGCTAAATGCTTGAAAGCATGTTTTAAAAATGCATCATGGCTTTGGCATTTGAGGTTTGAGCACCTTAATTTTGGAGGTTTAAAATTGTTGAGTGTCAAAAATATGGTGAAAGGTTTGCCCAAAATAAATGAACCTAATCAATTGTGCGAGGGATGTTTATTTGGAAAGCAACCAAGGAAAAGTTTTCCAAAGCAAGCATCTTCAAGAGCAAAACAACCATTAGAGCTTGTACACACGGATATATGTGGGCCAATTAAACCAAGCTCTCTCGGAAATAGTAATTATTTTTCTCTTTTAATTGATGATTTTAGTCGGGAAACATGTGTTTATTTTCTAAAACAAAAATCCGACGCTTTTGGGGCCTTCAAGAAATTTAAAGCTCATGCTGAAAATGAAAGCGGGTTTAAAATAAAATCCATGAGATCCGATCATGGGGGGGATTCACTTCAAAAGAATTTGAAATTTTTTGTGAAGAAAATGGTATTCATCGCCCCTTAACGGCTCCATATACTCCACAACAAAATGGAGTCGTTGAAACGAAAAATCGATCTCTTCTTAATATGGTCTGAAGCATGCTTAAAAGCAAAAAATGTTCCAAGAGAATTTTGGGCCGAAGCCGTGGATTATGCGGTTTATTTGTCAAACCGATCTTCTTCTAGAAGTGTTTGGAACAAAACTCCCGAAGAAGCCTGGAGTGGAAGAAAGCCCAGAATTTCTCATTTAAAAGTTTTTGGGAGCATTGCTTATGCTCATGTGTCGGATCAAAAAAAGAGCAAGTTGGATGACAAAAGTGAGAAGTTTATTTTTATTGGCTACGATGCAAGAGCAAAAGGGTACAAGCTTTACACCCCAAGCAATGTAAAAATCGTGATTAGTCGAGATGTCGAGTTTGATGAAGAAAGCACTTGGGATTGGACTCATAAAGAAGAAGAGTACAATTTCTTACCTTACTACAATGAAGAAGAAGAGGAAGAACAAGAGATAGCCCATGAAGAGCCCACGAGTCCAACTCCACCATCACCGGAGCAAGAAGGATCCACAAGTGAAGATCATTCAAATGAAAGGCCGCCTCGTTAGAAGCATACAAGAGTTATATGAGGTAACCGAAAATACAAATGATCTAACATTGTTTCGTCTTCTTGCCGATTGTGAACCAATAGGTTTTGAAGAAGCGGCTAACGACAAGAATTGGAGGGAAACCATGGATGAAGAAATGAAGGCCATCATAAGCGGGAATTTGCCACTTTACCCAAAGGACACAAAGCAATTGATGCAAAATGGGTGTTTAAAGAGAAGAAAAATGCCATGGGGGAAGTTGAAAGGTACAAAGCAAGGTTGGTTGCAAAAGGGTACAACCAAAGAGCCGGTATCGACTATGAAGAGGTATTTGCTCCCGTTGCCCGCTTGGAAACAATATGATTTTTAATTTCTTTGGCGGCTCAAAATAAATGGATTTTTTTTCAAATGGATGTGAAGTCCGCATTTTTAAATGGAAATTTAGAAGAAGAAGTTTATTTAGAACAATCACCGGGATATAAAATAAAAGAACATGAAGATAAAGTTCTAAAATTGAAAAAGGCACTTTATGATTTGAAGCAAGCCCCAAGAGCTTGGAATACTAGAATTGATAAGTCTTTCCAAGCAAATAATTTCATAAAATGTCCCCATGAACATGCTCTTTATGTCAAAAACGAGGGAAATGGAGATATCTTGATTGTTTGCCTTTATATTGATGATCTAATATTCACGGGAAATAATCCCAATTAATTTGAGAACTTCAAAAAGGCAATGAATCGAGAATTTGAAATGATCGATATGGGCTTAATGTCTTATTATTTGGGAATTGAGGTGAAACAAAGTGAAAGTGGAATTTTTATCGGTCAAGAAGGATATGCAAAGAAAATCCTTGAAAAGTTTAAAATGAATGATTGTAATCCAATCAATACCCCGGTGGATTGTGGTGTAAAATTATCTAAGTTTGGTGATGAAGAAAAAGTGGAGCCCACAATGTTCAAGAGCTTAGTTGGGAGTTTACGATACTTGACTTGTACAAGACCCGACATTTTGTACGGAGTTGGTCTCATTAGCCGATATATGGAAGACCAAGAACCTCTCATTGGAAGGCTGCCAAGAGAATTTTTCGCTACATCAAAGGTACTCTTAACTTTAGCATGTTTTACAATTCTTGCAAAGATTTCAAGCTTGTTGGCTATACTGATAGTGATTGGGCCGGAGACGTTGATGATCGTAAGAGTACCACCAGATTTGTCTTTCTTTTGGGTAACACAGCTTTTACTTGGAGTTCAAAGAAGCAACCCATTGTGACCCTCTCCACATGTGAAGCTAAATATGTTGCCGCCAATTCATGTGTTTGTCATGCTATATGGCTCCGTAATTTATTCAAGGAAATAGGCATGCCACAAAAGGAAGCTATGGAGATATATGTGGATAATAAGTCCGCAATAACATTGGGAAAGAATCCGGTATTCCATGACCGTAGCAAGCACATTGATACCCGTTATCACTACATTCGAGAATGCATTGAAACAAAAGAGGTTGAAGTAAGGCATGTAAGGTCCCATGATCAAATTGCCGACATTTTCACGAAGCCGCTCAAGCACGAAGATTTTCGAAGGTCGGAGACCATGCTTGGAGTTACAAAAACAAGTTTAGGGGGGGGGGGGGGTGTTGAAAATTAAACTTGTTATTTGATCCTAACTAATATTTACTAGCCTTTAGTTGTTGTTGGGAAGACCCAAGTGCTAGAAAAATGTAGAAGGAATAAATCCTAGAGCTTCTCTAGAAGATAAGGTATCTAGAACTCTCCTATCATTAATTGTATAGAATTGTCTAGAATGCATTAATTATAGAAGAAACTAGATACTTTTGTACTAGTATAAATAGAGCTCCCTCACCATCACTTTGTATCAAGCAAATCAAGCAAATTGAGTTGTTCTAATAAAAGGAGTTATTCCCCTTTGTTCAAATATCTCTTCCATAATATTTCTAATTTAACCTCCCAATTTCCCAAATCTTCCTTCACTTATTTCCAACATCGTCTTTGAGATATATCTTAAATTGAGGGGAGTAATATAATGCACTGCACTCTTTTTCCCTTCGTTCAAGTGTTTATCCCAGTAGGTTTTTGCTGAAAAAAGTTTTTAACGAGACAGTACATTATAATACTTTGCAACTAATCAGTCCCTATTCCATACATCTGAATTTATATACACCTGACCCAACTAAGAAAGATAGCCGAATAACTGATACAGACCAATTTTTTTGGTGGCATTTTTGCAATTTAAATGAAAAATCACGGCTTCCGCTAAATGAGCAATAGTTTACTTTTAGTGAGCATTTGACCTATTTTATTGAGTATTAGGAGGCTAACAATGATTATCATGATCTCTGCTTCATATCTTCTATTTAACTTTTTTCTTTTATAAAACATATTAAATTATATGTACAATACCTATGAATTTTAATATGCGAACTTAATGTGATATGATACATTTGAAATATGGATTGATATGACATTTTATAAATGAGCATAACATCAGTACCAAATGAGCATATGTAACTCACAAAATGCGCATTAATATGAAAATCGTATTATTTTAATTTAATATAGAGAAAGTGGTCTATATGAAAAATGAAATGGAAGAGAGATAGAGGTAAATTGTAGACAATGTCCACAAATAGACTTTACACGGGAATTGAGTAGCAAAAGTGGATGAAAAGTGAGTTAGAAGTGATATAAAAAAATGAAAATTAAAATAAATATGAAGATATGTAGATCTTATACATAAAATTTGTGAGATAAAAAATGGGATCCCGTGTAAGAGTTTGTAAGAGAATAAACATCCTCATTAGAGATGCTCTTGGTTGCATAGGATTTTCGAACTGTTGGACTGGATTGAGTTTATAGTCACCTCATACGCTCAAAATAGTGAGCGGGCTTTTGAACCCAAAACTTAGCCCAGTCCAGTAGTCCCATATGAAAGAATTGGATTATTTTCTGACGGATGAAATAAGTTGCAGAGCCTCCATTGTCAAATTTGCAAATTTGTAATCCACTCGAAGTAGAGGTAGACATGGGGGATGGAGGAGGCAAGGTTTCATTCAAGGTTATACTCACTTCCGATCCAAAGTTGCCCTTCAAAGTGTGCGTATCATCACTCTTACTTTATTAATTTTTCGTGACGAATTTTATTTTGGGAATCCTTGCAATTTCCTTTCCAAATTACCATCGTTCTTCTCTACATCAGTTTTAGCGTCCCGGAGGCTGCCCCCTTCACCGCCGTTCTGAAGTACGCCGCCGAGGAATTCAAGGTCCCTCCCCAAACCAGCGCTATCATCACTAATGGTATTCGATTTTTAGTTTGGACGTATATACTTCGTACATTCAAATTTCATATGCGTGCTCTTTATTACTTGAGAGAAAATATCAGATCTTATTGCGGACGGTAATTTTGTAACGAGATTGCTTTGAAACGTTTTAATGTTTACCTTATTGGTTTCTAAAATTGTCTATGAGTTGCTGGAATTCATGTAGCCTTCTTTTGGTCCGTTGAATAAATACCAATTGAAAATTTTAAAACATATTAAGGACTATTAAATACGGAGTATTTTATGCCAGAGATGTCGGAACCGTGTGTCAGATATCAAATCAAAAATTCCTTTTGTACACTTTCTTATACAATCGTTACACCCTCGTGTCTGTGAGAGTTTTTGGCTGTGGACTAGGATTCACAGACAAAAAAACTCTCACAGACACGAGGGTGTACTGATGTGTATAAGAAGGTGTACACCGAAAATGGTTGATATCAAATATACTCCTCAACCTTCTCCTAGAACAATTATAATAAAAAATTGTAAAATTGGTACAAATATTTGCTTCGAATATATGTAAGAGCTCAAGAGAACATTTATAGACTTCAAGTATGTCTGAGATACCCCCAACTATTTCTACATAAAGGCATACTTTGTTTCAATTTTACAATTTCTCTGTTTAACCTTCCAAAAGAAGTTGAGTGGTATAAATATCCTCTAACAATTTGTTCAAATGTGTATTTGTTTCTTCTACCCATTTGAAATGGGTAGACAAATTGTGTTTACTACTTCTGGTTATTAGTTGGTTAACAAAACACTATGCATATGCTTTTGTTATGTCTTTTTGTGCTTGTTAATGAAAGTTGACATGATCCTTCTGGATTTCTTTGTTCAGATGGAGTTGGAATAAACCCCCAACAAAGTGCAGGTAACTTTAATTTTTGAAAAATGACAGCCTTTTTAACTATGAGTATCTCTTGAATATGAAATTACTTTTTATTAATTGCATTGTGCCCTGTCAAAAATGGAACCTTGACAGTTGACAGGGGAAGATATGAAAGAAATGAACTCATTTGGTATAAAGAGGATAAGAATCATAAGAGTATCTCTAACAGCTGTTTCACTTTTTTTTTAATAATTATTTTTCCATAGGCAGCATGGGAGCAACTTGTGGATGATCATCTGATCTGTGCATTTTGTTTTGTTATTTTTACACTTCTTAGCTAATGAGCTATTGTAGTAACTTCCTAATCCAGTTCCTACAAAATTTGACAGTATTCGAATGCTCTCTTTCAACTGTCTATTTTCCGGTGGTCCGTATATAGTTAATTAGCACACTTCCTAAGTTTCTTCTATGATTTTCCGCATAACATACATCTAACAAATTTGAACTGATGATGCTCTTTAGTGATAGGTTCATAAGAAAAAGAAAGTGTATTTGTGCTAAACTAAAGGTCAGTTATTTTTCCATAGTTAGGATGTTTTTACTTGGATTGTTTTCATAGGCAGCAATAGCCCTTGTCTACTTCATCATAGTACGTACTACACTACTACTACTACTACGATCTATCATTCAATACTAAGATCCCACAACACAAAAAACCGGAGATGCAATCATGACCAGTTCAGATTAGCAAAGTAAGTTAATTTATAACGGTATTGTGTAATGGTATTCTCCCACGACTATACGGGTGGGAATTTTGCGTGGTTTAAGTTTTACATCGAAGTTTTTTGTTGTCTTTCTGGCTAAGGTTTAAGTGGTCATGATTGCATCTCCGGTTTTTTGTGTTGTGGGATCTTAGTATTGAATGATAGATCGTAGTAGTAGTAGTAGTGTAGTACGTACTATGATGAAGTAGACAAGGGCTATTTGCTAGACAAAAGTTTCATGGAAGTGGGAGTGTGACTATTGGATGCAATTGAGTTAGAGATTAACTTTTGAGTGTGTGTTAGACATTTATATTCCTTCAACGTAGTGCCACTATTAGATATGAAGTTTTTACACTAAGCAGTGGTTGGAGAACATAGATACTACTTATGTTTGCCAGATCTTAGGGGCTTGTTTGATTAGGAGATTTCAGAGGGAAGGGGAAGGTTGATTTTTTATTTTATTAATTCATCTCTTTTTTAAGTTTTAGACTAGAAATATCTTACATAATCACTTACATCCTATATTTCTATATAGTCCTTTTTGTTTTTTTCTTCACTTTATTAACAAGCATCTAAAAGTAGAAATATTTTAATAAATAAATATCAATCATCTCCTTCCCCCCCTTATGTTTTCCTTGAGCCAAGCAAACCCTATGACAAGTATCTCCTAGCTATCATAATAGTCAAACATTGTTTTTATGCTTTGCCACATAAATGCCTTTGATTTTGTTAGTCAGTTACAATAGGTTTTGTGTTTCATTGAATCTTTTTTCATTCTCTAATTCTTTGGAGTTTGTATGGATTTCAGGAAACGTTTTCCTCAAACATGGATCTGAATTGCGCCTAATTCCTCGTGATAGGGTAGGTGCTGCCTAAGAGAGACCAGGTTTCATCTCAAGAGGCTTGATACAGCTTATTTAATAGTGCACCTTGTCTTCCAGTCTCGTCTCACTTTCAGAATGTAGTTGGTTGCCAAATTTCCAGCGTATTACATATATATTCTTTACCCAGACTAGAAATGAATTGGAGTGTTGTACGGAATAAATTCTTAATATACTATGCTTTGAACTGACATGTATTAAAATTATATATAGCCTGAAACATTTATATAAAGCAATGTATGCCAGTATGCCTGTTTGAAAAAAAAATGTTTGCCTGTTTGAAATGTAATGGGCTCTACACATTAATCTGTTTGTCTAAATAAAATGATACTCTCTTTGTTTTAAATTTGAGACAAGGGTAAGTGGCAAACATTTATAAAAAATTTAGATTTCTGTTTTTTGATATTGAATTTGTAAAATTCAGATAGTTTTGAATCACTTTGATTTTGATATAGGGGGTGTTTTACAATTGGTTGTTGGCTATTGACTGATTATGTTGGCTGATTAATGACATCAGATTTTGTTGGCTGTTTTAATTAGCTAATTGGATTAACTGTCTGTAAATTAGTGTTTGGTTAAATCGCTGTTTACAAACAGCTGATAACTTGTTAAATGACTTTTAAGGACATGAACTATTTTTTATTAACATAATTAGTATAACTACCTTAACCATTTTAATGATTAAAAAAATAAAAATGTTTTTTTTCGATCGTCAAAACGGATGACTTAAATTGATATCACAACATTCAGATAGGGGTAAAACGACAAAAGGACAACTAGCAACCACCAGCCCTCGAATCAGACTTAATAATCCTTACGAGAGCCCAAACCTCCATTGCCCTCGAACTAGACTTAATTAAAATGTAATAACATGTACAATTAATAATTATATTTTTTCACGAATTAATAGATTTAATTAATATCGTAATACTTTGATTTTCTTAGAGAAATGCCAACATCATACTTTGATTAATAATAGGAGTTATTACTAAAAAAATAAAATTAAACGTAGTATCAAAAAATTGATACTGATACGTAGGGGTGGATCCGGGCCGGGCCGGTTCCGGGCCGAGCCTAGGCCCGGGCGGGCTTTTTTTTTCCGGAATGTTGGGCCCAGAACCAGCCCGAGTTGATACCGGGCCCGGTTCTATGTAATTTTTTTTTGACTTTCTAATTAACCCCCGACCCCCTCCCTCACCCGACCCCCCAAAACCCCCCAAAACACCCAGCCCTATCCAAGGAAAAGAAAAAAAATTGAAAAAATAAAAAATTGAACCGGGCCGGTTCATGAGAATCATGTCCCGGAACCGGCCCGCCAGAACCGCCCAGACTGGGCTAAAGCTCGGAACCGGCAATCCGGACCCGGTCTGGTCCGGGCCGGTTGGGTCCATGCCTACTGATACGCATATAGCCTCTCTTTAATTAAGTTGTAAGACTATTTATAACCAAACACGCCAAGTCGATAATGAATTCATTTTGGACGTGTTAAGTAACGAAAAATGTATGCATGAAGCAAGATCATTTCTATCAAAATACCTTGCTTATTTCATTTTATTATTATATATTACCAAAAAAGTAGAAATTAAGAACTATTTTTAGTAAATTTACAATAAAAAATAGAAGGGAATATACAAAATGTTTTAAAAATAGGAACTATTTCCTTTCTAGTAAAAAGTAAAAAATAATGAAGTTATTAAGTAAAGAATTAAAATTAAACTTAGTACCAAAAAAATAGGAGGCATACTAATGGAGTATTAACTCCTAGAGAGAAGTGAGAGCTAGAGAGAGAAGTGCAGTAAATGCTTTGTATTAATGATTTGTGAACCCCCTACAACTACTCCCAAGGGGAGTATTTATAGAGGAAATTAGGACTGAGCTCCCAAGTCTTGGGCTTGGGAGGCCCATTTACAATTGAGCCACTATTGGGCCGAGTACAAGATATGTAGAAATGACTAAGTGCAAAATTCGGTTCTGGGAACACTTTGTGGTCGACGCGGCCATGGCCGACGGGGACACCCGGTTCTCCTTGCTTCCGGACCATGTTCTGAGTTGATATCTTTCTGGCCGATGAGGGGCCATCTAGCCGGCGGAGCCGCGGAGGCCCCACTGGGTGATAGCTGTGCCTCTTATCCTTCTGAGTATGTGGGTCCTGGGGTCCAGGCCCATATACTTCATCACATACGAACATAATTTTTTTTCTTGGGCTGCAACTTGATTTTTGTTTAGCAACAAGGAGCACATGCGTAAGAAAAAGATAGGGGGCAACATGAGAATATACAAAACAGCCGATCGTAAAAACTGCTATTAATGGCTTTTCATATTTTGGCTGTTTGAGATCAGAAGCCAAATATAAAAGCCATTTAACCAAACACACTAATTAACTGATTATCTAGTCAAAAAGCTAAATAGCGGTCAAATCAGCCAAAAAATGGCTGATAGGCTGATAACCAAACACCCCCATAGTATGATTCCACGACTCCACGAGACTAACCATTTGGGACGGTTGAGACTTGAGAATGATAGATTGGAAACATGGGCTACAATAGGGGTGGATTCGGGCCAGGCCGGGCCTAGGCCCGGGCGGGCCGGCGGTTCTGAATAGGTGGACCCGGGACCGGCCCGGGTAGCCACCGGGTCCAGTCCGGGCCGGGCCTCGGGCTTAGTTATTGTATTTTTTTGCTTACCTACCTATCCCTGACCCCCCATCACCCCCACCCCCAAACCCCCCAAACCCCTCCTAAACATCAAGCTCAACCCGGGTGGAGCCCAAACAAATGAAAAAAACAAAAAAAAAAATCTATTTGGCCCGAACCAGGCCCGGGCCGGGCCTTGTTTTGGGTGACCCGAGCCCGGACCGGAAACCCCTCGGGTCGGGCCTACCCGGACTGGTCGCTGACCAGGCCACCGGTTCGGGCCGGGCCGGAACAATACCGGTCCCGGCCCGGTTCCGGGTCGGGCCACCCGGTCCGAGTCCACCACTAGGCTTACAAGCTCAAGAGTTCAACATTGAAGTTTTAAGAAAAATATATATTGAGGTAGGGATGGACCCAACCAGGCCGAACCGACCTAGGAATTGGACCGTCCCGCTACTGTGCGGGCCCGGACCGGACTGGGCTCGGATGGCCGGTTCTGGCCTGGCTGGGTGTTTTGGGGAAGTTTGAGGGGTGGGGGTGAAGGGGGGGGGGGGGGGAGGTCAGGGGTTAATTAGAAAGAAAAAAAAAACATTGTACCGGCCCGGACCGGCCTGGCCCGGTTTGGCCCGGACCCGGTATCACTCCGGGCCGGTTCCGGGCCCAACATTCCGAAAAAAAAAGCCTGCCCGAACCGGCCCGGAGCACGAACCGGCCCGGGCCCGGTCCATGCCTACAGTGAGAGAAAATAATAGTCCAATTAAGAAAGTTCTGAAACAATAGAGCCCGTTTGGTCACTCTGGTTTGTGACTTATAAAGTTTATCAGCTAATTTTTTTACCAAACACGTAATTTTTGATTTTGCGCGTTGAATTGTGTAATAATAAGAAACATAAGGTAGAAGTTACTATAGATGCTATTTTTTCATATACTTTTTTCTTTAATTTGTCAATAAAAAATATTTTTCATAAATTAGCAGAATCAGCTAATCCAACCACTTCAACTATTAACTTCGTAAATTTAAGCAGAATCAGTCGATTGAACCAATTTTAGTGTTACCAAACAGACACTTAATATGTTAAATTGTAAACTCCGTGAATACTACAATTAGTGCACATTTAAAACCATCATTTGAATTGTGCCCTAAGTTTGATGCAGGGCTGGCCCTGAGGGTGTGTAGGGTGTCCAACCGCACAGGGCCCAAAAAATCAGAAGGGCCCAATTTTTTTGTAGTAATATACTACTACCTTCGTCCCAAATTGATTTGCAAATTTGACTTTTCTTGGTCAAACAATTTCATTTTATTTGCTTAATTATGATGTCAATTTTTAATAATATTCTAATTTGGAATTTAGAACTTTGAAGAGATATTAGTATAGTTTCTGAATATATAAATTTTAATTATTAAAAATGGAATTAATTATCGATTGGGAGCATTGACTTTTTTTATTAGTTGACCAAAAAATGTTGACTTTGCAAAACAGTTTGGGACGAAGGGAGTAGTATTACTTAGAGGTGGAGCGTATATATAGGAACAAAGGAGTACTAAATCCTCCGTTTTCACCGGTGTGAGAATCTTAATCTTTAGAAACTAAAAAGATAAGAAGCGAGGCATGCGGGATTCGAACCCAGGTGAAAATAAAATCATGCACGCTGATCTCTAAACATCAACCCACTGGACCGAATCAACTAATTGTTGAAATAAGGACGTACAAGCTTTATATTACCTATTTGTTCTACAAAATAAATAGTTAAAAATACCTCTTAATAAAAATCGGTTCGGTTCGGTTTGAACCGATTTTATAACTCAAAAAACCTTCATTAAACCGATTTATGTTCGAGTCCCGATTTGCAGGTCCCGTTTGAGTCGGTGTGGTTTCGGTTCGGTTTTTTTAACTTGCGTTGAAACTTTGAAAAGGTTCAATTATTTTTGTTGCACAGGGCTTTCATTTCATCGGGACCGACCCTGGTTTGATGTTGATATATACTGCCTACACGGAAATAACTTTCTTACGCCGGTGCATTTGATAGTCTTGCGGAAGCTGTGTGCATGACATACATACATCTGAGTTGTTGGAATGTCGTGCTACTTAAAGGATACTTCTTATATATTCATCGGTCATGACTACCTTAATAAGGGAAATGTACTAAAAGGTTATTTTAGTACATATATACGGGAAGAGTAATAAGGGAAATGTACTATGAGGTGAGTTTTGCTAATCACGTACGTACTAATGAATCATACCTTTTTAAACCACTCATGTATGTGTGGCATGTCTTAGATGATAATTATAGTCATTTGCATATCCAAATACATAAATAGTCATATACTAGTATTAGGAAAACAAAGATGTTTTAGTAATATTTAGTTATTTTTCCCAATTATATATCAAACCAATATATATATATATATATATATATATATATATATATATATATATATATATATATATATATATATATATATATATATATATATATATATATATATATATATATAATGAGATAGTGATATAAAGTTTACATCCTTAGAACATCCTTAGAGTGATGTTTTAGTAATCTTTGTCATCTGGTATTTTTCATTTGTCATCGTCCCTTGTTTGGAAGCGACCGAATCGATGAAAATGATCGATTGCTCGTTGAAGTATATACTCCTTCCGTCATGAAAAGGTTGATCAAATTTCCTTTTTTGGATGTCTCAAAAAAATTTGTTATTTCCATTAAAAGTAAGAAACATG